ACGATCATGATAGATTTTTATAACATATAATCCATGAATTACCGAAGCACAGTATTCCCACTGCAGTTTTCAAAATGGCAACATGAAACGGTTGCAATATTCCTACCAGTATCAAACTGCTTGAGTACTTATCATGATATATTACGATGGTAACCTTTAGAGTACTTCATAATACTGTTATTACTTTACCATCTTAGGTTTTCCCCACTGTTAAATGAGTGTTAGTGCTGCAGTCTTTGAAATTAGCCCATAGTCCAAAGATGAGACCAGAAAAATGTATGTCTTAGCTTAGCTCTGCTCATACCTTGGACTAACATTCAGTCTATGAAATCTTACATTACACAATACCCTTCTCGACACTAATATTAAACAATAATTTTCCCGAAGTTGATTTCATATATGGAATAGAGCTAGCAAGAGCTGGCTAGGCTTGCTTTTCTATACATATCTAGATTGTTGTTTTTTTTCTCATAAAATCAATATATTCCAGAGTCATGGTGCAGGACTACTATGTCAAGGTTCATGGGTTCACATCATAATCCAGTGACCAGGCAACAGGAAAATTCAGGCTGGAAGATATCTAGTGAAGATAATGACAAGCAGACACACCAAAGATTACTAAACTAGTACCAAGATTTCTATGAGGATTAACATGATTAAAACAATTCAATCAAAGATTGCTTCTGATCAATTGACCAAATCCTACTGTGTCATGGTTTAACTCTCAATAGATGTTGAATAATATATGAAGCACTAGCAATCAAATGCATGGAAACAAACTAACACATCTGATGCTTTGGCTGAGTAGCTAATGTAGTAACTTCTACTAACAGATGTCTATCAAGAATTTAAAAAAATACCTTATCTGAACTCAATATTGAACAGTCCGACAAAAAGCACTCACCTCACACAAACTTAAATCAAGAAAGGTAAAGACCCCACCATGATCACACAGTTTAAAAAAATGCAAAACATGATGAATACATAAATATCACTGTGTAAAATCAGTCGAAGTTCATACTGAAGGGGAAATACAAAAGGGAAATACAAATAAATGTGTGTAAATCACATCCTTTTCTCAAGATGACTGCCTATATTACATTCAAATTAGTTTCATTTGCAAATCGGTCTGAAGAAATAAATGTGGAGCCTAATGCGCATAGTGAGCATGATTATAGAATTCATTGAGATCTTTGCAATACATTTACATTACACCCAAGAAGCTTATGGAATTTCAATCAAATATGTGAAAGATTATGCCACTTATTTCACATGGGCATCAAACATTGTGTCAAAATCATTATGGTACGGTAAATTCATGTTAAATATAACTCTTATCAAACAAGTAAACGTTCATTCCAGTTGAGCAAATAACAAAATCTGCATTTACAAAGTAACTTCCTGAAAGAAACCACGTAATTGATTATCCATATGTTGAGCCTGTCTTCCACAAAACAAGTCCCAATTGAACATGTTGAACAAACAGTTACTTGTTTTATCAATCATGGCTAGTTCCTAAGGAAAATAAACAAATCCCAATCACCAACATGACTAAATATAATTTAACAAACAATCTATTTGTCTTTTTTCAACCAAGGAAGGAAATCCTGTAGGAAATCACCCACAGCCAACGTAAGCATTTTACATTTATCCAAAAGATAACATATCACCAGATCTTGCTTTATATATGCTGAACTGTTTCATCAGTTACATGATTAACTAACGTCACTGATGTGGATTGAGGTAGGAATTCCACGCACTGTGTACAACATGCTCGTCTCAGTGTCCCTGTATGTCTCCACATGTTGGATGATGGGAGTAGGGATTATCCTGCCAGATTATAACAGATCATCCTTAATCCACCTCCAGTGGTCACCCACATCAAGTGCCACATAGCCTTTTCTCACACAGCTGCAGTGCTACACATGTTCAATACACCTAATCCTATTAGCATAAGAAGTCAAGGCTAGTCCAAACATCTTAGCATGCAGGAGCTGTCAATATTTACATTGCATTTCAACATGTATTCAGCCATATAATGTTAGAGAACAATGAATATCAGACCTTACTCTAACCAACAACATTGAATAAGGTGATCAGCTAGAGGGGCCTCTTGACAGGATCAAGTTTTACTTGCCCTAACAATGTCAAAGATATCTTTAGTATGGGACAGATTGCCACATGTGACTAATCCGATCCCTTAGTCAATTAGACTACAGCTGATCCACAAAAGCTAGTAGTCTAGTGCAAGCCAGATTACCTACCTACCTGGGCATCTGATCATGTTAATGAACCAAATCAATTAAACTTCTTATCACTGGCCAAAAATATGTCACATCAGCACTTTGTTCAAACATTTCCTTCCACTTAAAAAATTAAATGAGTAGAGCACATTTATTCCCTCACAACACACTATGGCACATCATAAATGCAGTCTGTGCCAAAATCAATTGAGTCTTCTCGAACATGACAGTAAATAATCAAAATTTTCAATTTCCTTCGGGTTAATGATTATTCCTTCAGTCGGCAATCAATGAATATCCAATAAATGTCAACATTTATTTTCATATGATCCAGATCATCCAATACTAACGGGGATTAACAATTACTTAACTACCCCTTGGCTTGTAAAACTGAGTAGTATACCTCAGGGACATGCATCCAGATTGGGATCAACAGTTGTACCAAGTATCTCGGCTGTGTGACTTACCAGAACAATCTTCATACATCATAAATCTACATATAGAAGCAGCTGAGGACCATGTTCCTGCTATGGTAATTAACCATGATGCTGATACCAATGAGTATTGATTTCCCCTATCCAAGACATATCACCACCGTAACCTGGCGTACGTCATTCCACAAGGACATATCTACCCACATAAGGTATTTCAGTTGAAGTGAACCCAACCAATAACAGCTCACAGTACAGCCTTCAACTTTATCTGGGCAAAGTCAGAGCACCTTAACTTCAGGGAACAATTTTTTGATGCTTCAGGATAATAAACAGCTAGGTGTCAACATGGTTAAAAAAAGATAAGTGAAACCTAGAATGGTCAGGGCTTAAAATGCAAACTTCCCTCTCTTTCACCATGTTCATATCCTGAAGAGATCTTTAATTTGCCTTGCTGCTTGTGATTATATGTGAAGCAGTGGCACATCAGCTTGTAGTAGGAGTAGCTAAGGGTGAAACGATACACCGATATTCCGATGCATCGCGATACTTGACCTACGATACAATATACGATAACCGTGGGCCCATTTATCGATACGCCACGATACGGAACGCAAATCTCAAGTACAGCGTTTCCTCGGTATTGTGCCTTTCAATAAACCGCTAACTTGGTTATAGCGCGCGCTAACGCATGGCTCCCCAAAACTTACTTACATTTTTAATAAGCTCAGGTTTTACACCGACAGATGTTTTTCCTCATCTCATAAAACATTATCAGCTGATCACCGCAAGCACATAACACCGAAAATACCAGTCAGCAAATCCGAACTGAAGTACGCAATTCAATACCATTATTATACTATCTTGTTATTAAAACGTGTTCATTGTATATCTGGACTTGTGTTTGTAATATATTTTATAAATTTTATTCAAAATTTCATTTAATATTGTTTTCATTAAGTTATGTGAAATCGTGTGTGAAGAGATACAGCAACCACGGTCAGATTACCGCTTTTGACGCATTGAAACAAACTTTAGTTGTCCGAGAATGGATACATATATTAAAAATGCCATACTTTGACTCGTTAAAAGTCATATTTGTGGCAATTTGGCTAATATATGTCAACATAACGTTATCGCAATCGAAATACATGTAGCACGGGAAGTCCCTACCTAGGGTGACTGGTCAAATTGTTCCATACGTAAAAATATCCTGCAACAGCAATCACCAGTACCAAAATGCTACACTTGTGGTTCTTATAATTATAAATATATTATTATATAGTAAAAGCTGCAACTAACATGACTAAGGTAACACGATATTGGAATAAATTATTCCTGATAAAACAATAATTTCAGATACAATGTCTTCGACCATTGCATCAAAATTCTTTGAAGTTGTATCACTGGTGGAGTACATTAATTATTTTCTGGTGTTTGAACTTTGAATTGTTTTGAAGGAAAGTTGAACAACTTCAGTAGTCTTGTTATTATAAAATAATTTTGACTGTTCCAAAATCATGAAAGGTTCAATCTTTACATGCTTTAAGTCTTGTTTTTTTTTTATCATTGCGTATCGAGATGCGTATCGTATCGTGACCAGAATATCGAGATGCGTATTGTATTGTGACCTTCCTGTATCGTTGCAGCCCTAGGAGTAGCATCTATCAAAATATTTCTGTGAGAGCAAGTAGGTTCAAAGTTACAATGCATAAAAAACACTGCACCTAATCCTATGAAAAGGGGTCTAGAGCATGTAGAACCTGCGAGTAGGCTTCATCTTCACGAGGCAAGAGAGTTAACTGACCATAAAAGTCTAGTTTCCACCCTTGCCGAACTTGGTTGGAATTATGGAGTAATATTGTGGCTGGAGTAACGAGTCTATGCATAGTCCAATCAAACATCCAAACAAAATTGACATTCAGTTCATAAACAACATGGCAACTGCAGAGAAGATTTCAGTCAATTGCAGGATTTGCAGAGCATGTGGACAGATGTTTACCAAATCTTTTCATGTTTTTTAATCAAGGTGCTCAAGTGGTTTGATGTGCTTTGCGAGGTAAGATCTATTTTATGACAAAATAGATCTTGTCAGTTGATTATCGATCAGACTGTCTTGAATGGGTGCCACCATTTTGTTTGAAGCAAATGCAAGTCAAATGACAGGTGGAATCGGATAGGCGCGATATAGAAGGGACATAACTTCTAATTGCCACTGGTGGCGCTCAATCGAGCACCGAAATTCAAGCCTAATTCAGCAAGGGTGGAAGCTGGACTTTTACAGTCCCTTGCCTTAGATGGTAGGCCTAAGTGACCAGTGACTCACCACAATTATAAACCTTGGTCTGTACTGACAGGTGCCGAACAGGCCAATGATGACACAAAACAGCTGGAAAAAGTTGCCAATGATGGGCGCCCACATGAAGCCAAGAAAGTCGAACACCTGCCTCTCAACTGTGCTCACCTGTAACAAAAAAAGAGGATGAAAATATCAGCCATAACAGTACATGTCACCCACCTTGGGATAACAATACGAGGCAATTATATACCCTGCTGGCTACATACAAATTTCTTGTTAAATCTACCACTGATCTACACAAGATAAGTGCAAGTACACAAGAAAATATGTTTTCAACATGCTCCAACTGCTAATTGCAATATGAACACCATTTTTTGAAACAGGACCCTGATCAAATTCAGCTTATCAATGAAAGAATTACCATATATTTATAAATAACTGTATGATTAACATAATGTTGATTCCAACATGCAAGGCTATTCATGCAGGTTGAGTGGTTTACACCCACTTTCAGTTATTGACATAAATGTTTCCTGTATGTTCAGAATAATGGTCTTTCCTTAAAACATATCGTGATCCAAAAATCTAGACCACATACACCCTCAGTCTCACAAATTATACTGTCATATCAATCCACTTATTTAAGACTAATGTCTTACTTCCCACACCATGTTAACGTATCAAACGAAGCCTCACAAAATAATCTGGTGATGGTTAACAATGTCTACCTCATCACATTTAGAACTACCAGAATCTCCAAGTCTTAATCTTGTTCCTGTTTTTCTGGCCTCAGTATTGACAGATAAATAAACTGGTAAATACAAAGTGTTCCTAAACAAGTACACCAAATTTATTTATTAAGGAAACATTCTGCAGTGTACAAAATTTGAGAGGTCGTGGGGCCCTTGAGGTCTTCTCCTGTGGTTACCAGGTATTTGAATCTGGTTACCCCCAACACATGAACACATGCCCCCAATCCTGATCTTTTAACATAAGGGTTATGAGAAGAACCCTTTGACTTTTATGCTTAATTATGACCTGTCAATATCGGCTAGAAGATGATACAATATGCAGCGGAGTTAGACAGAGTTAGATATAATTCAGAGTGACTGACAATCCTAGACACTTGATCACATTAAAACAGTGATTTCCACATTAGCTAGTATGCATATTGTCTTGACATTTTGTAATCTGTAGACTAATCGACTTAGATGGGTCACTGCCAACATCCAAGAATGTGTGTGGAGAAGCATTCACAACAAAGTTTATTTAACACAGACAGACCAAAATAGTAGTGAAAATCAATACTTCTGTCCTTGGAGAGTATTTTTTTCAAGAATGTATCTTAACTTTTATATACATGATGTATGCATACATGCAAGTTAACTATGGCCATAATACAAGGCCATATGTAATACTTCCAAAGGAAGGAAAGGGTCAAACAAAACAAGATTTCTGAGTTAATACATTGTTACAATACAGTTATTTTACCATGTCTACAGTAGAAAAGGTAACTGCCTAAAATAAAAAAAATAATGATTCAGAACAGTTGTCAGGAAACAATAAATTCATCATTTATTCTCCCACACTACAGCATGGATAACAAACACGCTCAAGATGATCTTTTTTTTTAAAAAAAGAAGAAGACTACCCTGTCAGAGCAGTAACTGATTGGATGTCAGAAACTTTACCTCAACCATCTTAAAAAATGTTAAAACCTCACCAACTGATGAGGGCAAAGAAAATAAACCAATGAGACATTACTGTCTGATAATGATTTTAGCTTTAATGCCCTTCTGCAGCAAATTTGCAGAGACTGCTTTGACACCAGCCCCTATGCCACAGGCACAGTTGGCATGAAAGATGATTGTAGCTTGAGAAAGTGAGATTGTAACCAATTCCAGAAGAAGTGTGTTATCATGAGTATCTATTTTATTTATTTATGCTAATACCTATATGTCCAGTTACCTCTGATTTGGTTAATTTAAAACCAGCTTAAATACTGATTCTATGACTATCACCATCCATAACTACAAGGACCAGGTCCTGACATACAAGCTCTTGAACATGCTCAAAGTCTTTATATCATCAATTGCTTTTATAAGTAATCTCTCATTGACAATGTCCTCCTCTACTGCCTAGTGTCCTTCATCATGTTTACACATGAATATCATATCACTGCTGTGTACATAGTAGTATACCACAAGAGACTTGACCAACTAGACTTTGATGTTTACATATGACGAAACCTGGTTAACCTACATGTGTGACAAAATAGTTCGTATACATATTTCCATGCACATGTAGTTTGTTTTTTATTACACTTTACAAACCAGTTAGAAGCAAGATCTGACTCCGTGCAAATTGCAACAATCTAAACCATCAAATCTGCAGCTGGTAACTATGTCCTAATATACTGTGTTGAATAAATTGAAAACATAAAATGACGCCCCCAAAACATATTGGAGAAACAAAAGCCATATCAATTATCCATATTGCTTTCATAGTCATAAACATTGATGTTGACAGAGTAGTGCACTTGTCATGGTACATGGGCATGACGCAGATACATATTTCTGAATGAATTCTATTCAGTAACGTAGAGAGTTAGACACAGCCATTTGTCTGGCACTGGGGAAAATGTGGAGTTTTTTCTTCTCTAAAATCAAGTTATGTTACCATGATTTAATCATTTACATAAGCCACTTAAAAAAGACCAATCTCATATGAGGATCATCTGATCATTTGGATTTATCTGATGGCCTTTTTCGTCAACATTATCTGACGATCATTTTTGGCAACATTTGTAAAACCAAGTTTAGAGCAAGATCAGTGCAATTATAAGCAAGATAAAATACGTCCACATATACATGACATAGTGACACGTCAGCATGTAATTTGGAATATTCAGAAATGTACAGTGTAGTTGGTGAATTATACCAGCCATCTGACCATGCTAACACCAGTCACATGTCTCAACCTGGTACCAGTGTTTACACATGGGTGCACCACACTGCACACCGGCACATCCACAGGGAGGTGCAATGGGGGCGCACACCCTATTTATTTACAGGTTACTTGTCAGCTTATGTGTATTTGTTTATGTTGTGACTCTGGATTGACCTCTGCTACATTCAGTGCAAACAGACAACAGCTATAAGCAGCTAGTGCTGGTCTCTGAACCTAAGTGGGTGTTACCTCTTATAAAAATACACATTGCAGCTATTGCACAGGACATACAAATAACTTTTATACCTAACATACATCAAATGCTTAACAAGCAAACAAATAAAACACTCAGGTTTTATAACTATTCTCTCCCTATACTGTATACCACAGATAATATGTTGGTTGGCCAGGCAATAAATTTCATCATATTTTAACGTAATTTTCATGAATCTTCACAGGAAGGTCATTAGTTCTATTTGTTGAAAAGCAGATTATTTTCTGCTAAAGCCATTTTCAACTTGATCCCATTTGGACTCAAACACCACAGATGAATCCAGTGGATACAGGAGTTGACCTTGTTCCCTAGACTAACATCTAGACTCTGAAATGAACATATCGTACAGAAAAAAAACAACAGTTGTTAAATTATCTTAATAAAAAATAATATTCAAAGGAGCCCAGAGACGCTCTTCATTTTCAGATACTGCAGTAATCTAGACTTGCCAAAAATTATAGACTTGCATGGGCTGTATTTGATATAATCGTATCAGGGTCTGTAACACAGACCACATGTTCCCATTGTCTATAGCAAAGCTTTGGAGTTTTCAGAAGATAACAGGATTAATTTCGTCGAAATCTCTGTATCAAGGGCAAGAGATATGTTATCGTTATGCATGGGATCAGCTATTATGAATGACTGATTAAATATCAACTTAAAATTGAGCATCAAATTATCTTGGTTTTAAAAAAACCCACAGTAATCACAAAACATCTTGCCTGTGTCATGTGTTGGTGGGAAAAACAAAGTATAAATTATGATTTTTATTTGTTTTTCCGTATTTGACAAAAATAAGATCAGTGGATCCTTGATTCAACATATAAATAAACAATAGCCTAGCAAGTAAAATACAGGGGCAGTCAGTTATTGAAAATCCAAATATTGGGGGGAGAGGACTTGTAACCTGATTACAAGGACGATTACAACTTAGACATGTTATACAATATCATAATTCACATTACAACCCATTGTAATCCACTGGCAAACTGCCATGGATCCATTCACAACCCATACAAATGTTCTCTACAGACCCGGTGTGCTTCTCCATGGTCACTATAATGCGACTTGTGTTTATTTTGTGTGTTTGAGACATTCAGCCCTTGAATGTGCAGGGCACATTGTGCAAATACTGGAGGAGTAACACTGCCACACAAGGACAGGGAGTTGACCAATCAACTCTTACTCACCGGATCCTTCTCATAAACAGGGTGTGACCATCACCATACGGATCTGAGAGATACTGAATTTATCACATACACACAGTATAGACATGATGTAATACTATCCAAATTTCCTTTACTACGTCACAGTGTGTATCACAGTATTTATTGGGCAAATTTTGGGTCCTCTTTGGAATCTAGGATACGACCCCCAAAAACTTTTACTTTTAACAGTCAACATGTCTGGGCTATGACAAAGATCCAAAAATATACATACAAATGAAAATGTTATATCATCCTTATGTATACTACTGAAAAGACAGTTAACTATAGTAATATAAAAGAATCGGGTGTTACATAACTTCTTTTGAGTAGTATAATAATTAAACATGATAAACTCAAATACAGAATGACAATGTCTAAAATTTACGTTTTTTCACATGCAGATGCTTTACCACACTTACCGGTAACATCAAAATCAGTTGACACTTATGTGAGGACAGATTTTACATGAACTTGGCTTACATATCCGCCAATTCTCAAATATTGAATTACTCAAACACGTTGAAAATGTATCTTCAAAACAATGAATTACGACTAATCATAAGAAAAATAAAAACATATTTTGAAATTGATAAAAAAAATTCAACCTGGCACCCATTTCCCAAAAAAGAAAAAGACTGAAATGACCAAGTTTTCATGTGAAGTAACAAATCACACCACATGACCAACAATCCAAACAGGCATGAAGCAAGCCAGAACATTGTACTGTCCCCGTTTAAAATTGACCCTTGTTGGAATGTCAGTGACCCTGACCTGACCCCCTTCTCCCAATCTCACTGACAATGGGGGACCTGACAATGTGGGTGTTTTCAGTGCCTTACAGTGTAATACTGATAACATCTTTCTCTTTCCTTGCCTTTCAGTTTGCATCTTTCTAACAATAATCCCAGATTACCCAAGGGAAGGACTAAACTGTATTGACATTTATATGAACCATGTGAATTTGAATATATAGATTTGTATTGTATCATACTTGGAACAGTTTGAACATGTTGAATATTGTCTATATAATATTGAATATAGTAAACATCTGTCTCCATCAGGCAGCTACTTAATTGCAGAAATATAACAGTAAATATACTTGTACGCTTATAAAATGTTGATAGTCGGTCACTTAGTTGTCACTAGTCAGCACATCTTAAAAAGTACTACTACGAAAATAATCTTCTTTAAGAAATGACAAAATTCCCGAATGAATTTTGTAGTCAGCAAGATCTCAGTAGTCTGAAAATAATCAAGCAGGAAAACCAGAGTTTGGCAGTAAGCATTGTAACCATTTCATCACCAGCCTTGTACAACAAGTATGTAATACTTGGAACACATTCTGATAAAAAAAAAATATATATTCCATGAAAAGATGAAAATATTAAACCATGTAAACTGAATATCAGTTAGTGTAGATGTCGTAGATATTTAGTGCACAATAAGGTACCCTGGTCTGTACACAATGGGTGTTGGTTCAAATATTCAGACATTTCAACTTGCATTAAACATAACATATCTGAATAAGTCAGTACAAAAAAGTCTAAACCTAACCAAGTAACACAAGAAACAGCTATTGTCCTGAGCCAACAATGTCACAATTGAGAGCTATACACTACAACCAGCAGTAACAGTACTTCTGGGAATAGCCCAGGGCTGGCAGTAAAGGCATGTTATCAGATTATTGCATGGATCAGTGAGCACAATACTGCTCTACAGGTCTACCTGTGCTAATTGCCACAATTTCACAGGCCCCACGAATGAAGTTAGCAGGAAACAGGACCTCTTTCTGTGCCTTACTACTGTTGCCAGCCACAAAATATGTGACTAAAGCGAAAGCTGCGTTTAAATTTAAGCATGACAGTCATGGGGTCCTTGTCAACCATGATAACAACAATGTTAAAAGCTAAAGATCATGAGATCCCTAGACTCAAATATTATAGCCAAAACTCTTAAGGACCCCAGGCCCCACCTTGCATTCGAACACTGTAGAGGATTTACACTTTAACATGGACAACTCTTACAAATATCTTAGCAGCATTCAATAGGTTCAAATTTAAGCATAAAAAATCAAGATTACTCTTCATAACATTTCTGTTAACATTGGTTAATGGATGAACCACTGTTGAAAAGGGCTTTCAGGCTTCGGCCATTTTGTTGGCAGGTGACACTGATTACAATTTGGCGATTGAGAATGATTTATTGTAATTTCTGTGTCTACTACTGTCTACCAAGTCTACTGTCAATCATTACAGACACTGTGAGCAGATACAGGTATGTGATTAGTCATAACACTACCAGTATCATTTGCTAACATTAACCCATAGATTTGTTAACACTAACCAATACAAAATTGGTTGATATCAGAAAATTAAAACTAAAAAATTCAGAAACTTTTTCATAATCATTTCAGTCACTAAAAAAACAAACATTTATATTCATCTGTGGAAACTAAACTTTGTTCAGGTTAATTATACTGTTTTTCATCTGAGTATAAACATGATGAATAACCATTCTCTTAGCATGATGAAATCTTGTCAGTAAATTCAAGTATTCATTGTGAATATGTTCAACTGTTCTGGTGTGGTATGCCAAAATGCTAACAAAAAAGTATGTTTAAATATCCACATGATCTCTGCGCTGGCTGAAGCATGTGCACATACTACTTGTGATAGGTGAATTTACACTGACATACGTTACTTTGTCACAGTGTGCATAGGCTATAGCATGATAATTTATATAGTTTTGGTTGTAATAGGGCAGATGTGTGGTTAAACACAGGGCTTTGGCATATTGTAAATCAAGGAAGATATCATATCTCATGGATGTATCATTAACAAGCTAGTCCGTTGATTCATCAATAATTAGGCCTCGCAGTTGTAATTGAATTAGGATCTGACATGATTTGGGTTTCAGATAAAATCAATAGTTCGCAAGAGCAGCAATAATACAAAAATCGGGCCGCAAAACGATACACACTGTGCACGTAAGGTTTGAAAACCACAATAAACATATAAATAGGCCAATATTTTATCCGTTTTTCAAGGAGCGCCACACCCTCTCATGCGCGTCAACTTAGAGAGTGTTTTGACATTAGGTGCGCTCAAGATCACTATTTGACGTAATGACATACCGGGGCAGTGATAAGTAAACCAGTACTTTGATGGCTTAGAAGGCCCCTAGGTAACGAGTTTGATCAACTTTATGTCAGTAACAGTGTCCTGCTTCCATGCCTACGAGCCAACATAGTTTGTTTTTAAACTCGACCCCTTATTTGCGATTTGTGAATCATCTCGAGACGAGATTCAAGTCGCATATTTCAACTCACCAGTTGAACGCTGAACATCACGATCAACGTCGTGTGAACAGCTCTTGTGAAACACTTCTCCGATGACCCCATGATGATTGTTCACGTGAAATCCAGCAAGGAAATGTTCAAAATCATATTCAAAGTAAACCTACAATCTTCAGGTATTCATCTCATGTCGACTCCATCATGGTCACACCACCGTTCTGAGCCTCGGACTCGCCGCCGATCGTGTGAAAACGTAGTCCGCTTGTTTTGAGAAAAAAGTCTCACTATGAATTTGCAAATATATTTTTCATGTATATAAATAATATAATTTCATATTATACCAGCAGTGTCTATAAATATTTACCCCCGAACAATACTTCAATTCGGATTTGTGGCTGTTTGTGGCTGCATTTTTTAGATAGCAAAGGCGTAGTAATACGTAGGACTAGTTAGTCGTTCTCAGCCGGTTTGTAAACAAATGAAAACATTGGATAAACATGTGTCTGGGGCGTGTCAACACCTATCGCAACCATTTGACGAATAATGCATTTAATTTAAGGGCTAGCTGGTGATTAAATGTTATATATAAAAGAGATCGTAAAGAAATCGAGGAATGTGACAAAAGTCAACATTTTCAATGAAGCCAGTACGAGTTGTCTGTCTACTATTTTCCTACCACCGATAGTACTATAACAACTTCCTACACATGAGTGACATAAGATCCGATGATTTTTAACACGTTATACGATATGCAATTGACAAAAATATCAGTTCCTTATCACAAAAATATTTTTGTATTTTATTTAGTACTTTTTAGAAAATGAAATCGTTTCTGAAGCATTTAGATTTGTCTCAAAAACGCTCGTAAATCCACCTACAATAATCACAAGCGCAATACAATATTTTATTTTACAGCTGTATCGTTTTATGAGTTCTTAAGGTCGCTTTAAAATGTAATAATCTGTTGCCAAATGGAAATATAAAGAGCATTGTTTATTTCAACATTGGCATGTCTGTGACTAATATAACTTTCGGGATCTTTTTTTTTTTTGGCGAAATTTGAACATGAGCAATTGTTTGCTTGTTGTTTAACGCCGCGCTCAGCAATATTCCAGCTATACGATGGCGACCTGTAAACAATCGATTCACGTATCTGGGAAACGGTGACATGCAATCAACAAAGCCTCTTTCAAGCAAAGATCTAGGTTGCTGTGGGACCTATTTTCTTACCCTGAATACTCACGGGGTGATCATATATTATTTAGAGATTCGGGGTTATAGACCAATTCCCCAGCATCTATATCTTGTCTCAATCAGCGTCTATATGTGGATCTGATGGCCAGGCTCGGTGACTTGGTTTAATAATAGTACGGTGTCACCGTATCCGGCAGCTTGGCGTGCTACTCACATTATCAGTCACTGGTTTGTCTGGCGCAGATTCGATTATGTACACCGTCATATTGCTGGAATGTTGCTGAGGGATGTTATGCAACAAAGACATAAGACAGCCAGATGCGACTACAAGATGCTCCATTGAAATAGATGTGGACCCGTGAAGATTCCGGGTTAGAATAGGTCTTCAGCAACCCATGCTTGTCATAAGAGGCGACTAACGGGATCGGGTGGTCAGGCTCGCTGACTTATAGTTGTTATGATGTTATGATGTCAATCAGTGGATTGTCTGGTTCAGACTTGATTATTTACAGATCGCCTTCATATAGCTGGAATATTCCTGAGTGCGGCGTTAAACAACACACAAACAAACAACCTAAACTCTACAATATTTCCCGGTACAGAGTTGCGTCCCTTAGCCACCTATTTGATGCTTGATCGTCGGACTTCGACCTCGTCTTCGAGTCTTTTGCGAGTTTGTTTATTATTATTATTATTAGTTACATGGTCCTGTGATTTGATATTTACCGTCAATGCTGTGGTGCGTCTCCTTTTACGTTATTGTTGTTTTACGGGAAGCAAAAAATGTCTATTGGGCTAAGTGCGAGTTGTGTCCCCTTGGATTCCCTGGACATGGGTTCGAATATCACACAGCTTCAGTCCGATTATGATCCTTTATCTGTCACACATTACGCTGTATTTCCGTGCTCGTAGGTTTCACCATATATAGTTACCAACAATGTCACGGAACTGACACGTCGTGCTGTCCATACGCTGCAACTCATTCACCTTCCCCCAAACATATCCCAATGACAAACCTTGTAAGCGTACGTGCACATATATCTTATAAATAAGAACCTAATTAATTTTATGGCTTGAATCAACATGTCGACTTTGTTCCCATAACTAGGATAAACAGGTAGACTGCAAAGTTTCCCTTTTGTGGAATGTTTCTAAAAATGTCTCTGTTCTTGAGTACTAAAGAGCTGCTATTATTTAATAGTTTAATTTGCAGTCGATTTGTAGACGTATAGGTTTGATAATCAGACAACGCCTTGTCCGGGTTTCTAATATTATATTTACACGATGACGGTATTGTCTCAGTTTCACACAAGAAACTGATAGCAGCATCTGGACTTCGATAAGGAATGGGCACAATGGCGGAATCCTACAGCTCCAGATGAGCCGGTAGCTATTTACTAACACATTACAAATTTCCCCTTTTAAAAAAAAACCGCCGTGAAAGATAAGTTACAGTGAATGATTTGAAAAACAGATCTTATATGACGAGTGTACTTCAGTATAGTTGATATCAATGTTTGATTTGTTTGAGACATTGAACCTTTTTCACTTGGAAGTGTTCATGTAAATCTGCTTTGATGCAGTCAATGATCCCTCAGCCTTTGAATTGTCAGGTGACTGGTCATATGATAGAGACAGGTGCAACACTAACAAAGGATATTTACGCACACTGCAGTCTGACACTCATCCTCGTGTGGAAAAACGTTCTTGACTTGAAGCCATTGGCAGTCTAACTTTATATGTTGTACACGCGTATACGCTTTGATAGACACCACCAACTGTGGGAGACAAGAGGGGACAAAGAATATTGAACAAGAATTTGAAGACATTTATTCCACTCATGTCTCTCTTAAACTTGCAGATGTGGTAGGTGGCGAAGTACAGGCATCTAGATTGGAAGGCAATGTCATCCGCCTAACATTCCCATAGTGCAAATGCAGAGGACCAGTTCCGGCGAAACTTTGCTGTGCAAGTGAGTGAGTATGGTTTTACGCCGTTTATAGCAATATTCCAGCAATATGACGGCGGCGTGACGAGCGAACGCTTTAACCAAAAGGTTACCCGACCGCCCCTTGCTGTGCAAGAGATGAATATTGGTTTAAGGCTGACGGTAGGATTGGATCGGCAATATTTAACGTGATGTCATAGACTATCATGTCTGTTTCAGATACTGATTCACTTGAATCTGATTGGATGTTTTGTGAAACAGATCTGGAAACGCCACCATCTCTCAAATCTGAAATCAAAGACGTATATAGATAGGAATCGTTATATACGTCATTCCTGAAATCAAAACTTGGCAAAGACAATCTAATTTTGATAATTTGGACCCTTTCCTTTTTAAAATGCTATATCCACCTTTGCAACCATACATCGGGAAAACCCCATCTAAACTTCTTGGGAACGTCAGCTAGACCACGTCAGATAAGTAGTTGATCGAGCAGACATTCCATCGTTGTATAAGGATTAATAGTAGTTCCTGGTAGGTGAACGCATTTGCATATATATTTATAACGGAGAGAGTGTTATCGATGCGATAAGCCAGTCCGATAAACTTATGTGCAAATGAGCTTTTGTAAGATCTGTACATCGATGTTCAAAATGTGATATATCACTCTCTTGATGCGTGAGTGCTTCTGTTAAAAAAAATGGATGTAAATTATTTGGCACTACATCATAAATGGAGCTGTTCACACAGGCTTGTCTTCAAATGCAGTTTCTAAAGTGAATAGCAATAGTTTTAATCTTCGATTATTTTAAGAATGACATTATAATATAAAAGAGATTGTTACCCTCGCTTGTTTCCGTATTGTGAAGAGCACACATTAAGAATAAAAACATCCATTGCGCTCGGCATACAACTTTTATTTCTAATATATGAAATATACGATACGGCCAATGATATATCTTAATCATCAGAATCTTGTTATTATAGAGGCATTTTGCCATGGTTATATATTTCTTTCATCTAACGTTTGTACATTATTTACAAGTCTTTATTTGGTTGTAGAGATACTAGTATTCCCTAGGAAATTCTTTTGGGTTATCCCCCTTTATCAAAACTTCCGGCAATCGATCCACGTTCGTGGCGGGAGCGATCAATAACAACAATACCGAAGCTGAAATGACAGGTTGGTGAATGCATGCGAGTTGCAGACGATGGGGTCCAGGAAGAAGAATGCATCAAAGAATAGCTCAGCGCAGAAAACAGGTAACAAGATTTACATTTTGATCAGTGACATGTCACACGTCAATAGTGCCGGTGCCACGATGGCAGCATTGTCTAACTTTGGTCCCGAGTCGAGATCTGTTATGGGAGTACCCCTCCCCCTTTATCACTTCAACCCTCGCCATGCGTCACCGGGACAAAGAAAATGATCTCATTCAAAATGCGTTTCTGTTGATTCATTAGTTATTCATGCATATAATTACAAGTGTAAGGGTAATAATCAAAATAACTGCACAATAGCTCATGACATGACACAACAGTCTGGGGACATATCGGCAATACATTCAGTAGAAATCTATGTCATTTCAGAATAGCAAAACATATTTTATCTGTTTACGTTTACGTGAAATTGTTTAGAAACATGGGTAATATTATTATGGTTTTCGACTTCTAGTGGAATGTATATATAACATATTGTGCTATGAAATATTAATCCATGTCTTTCAGCATGCAGCTCCAAATAATATCCAGGTCACACAAATTGCTCACTTAATGAAATCAAATTGAAAAGATTCATTAGAAGCTGACTTCCATGATAAATTGATGACAATACATGTAAAAAAATATACCCCCTGACCCCTCCCCACATTCAGTAGGCCCCCCCCCCCCCCCCCCCCCCCCCCCCAAAAAAAAAAACACCCCCCAAAACACACAAAAATACAAAACAAAACAAAACATAAAAATGAAAATATTATTTTCAGTCATTTAACCAGAATACCAAAAAGAACCTACCTACCCTTTTTATCCCCCCATCAAATATTGTCAATGCCTCGTCTGTCCATCCGTCCGTCCGTCCGTCCGTCCGTCCGTCCGTCTGTAGCCATTTCGTTTTGGGAGCGTAACTCGAAAACCACTAAATGTTTTCAACAAAAATTGGCGGATAAATCAAATGGATCCTGAAGTGGTGCCTTTTTCTATTTATGGATTTTTGGCATTTATATTTTTTTTTACAGTTTGTACTTGGTGTCGTTTCTAGAGCACAACTTGAAAACTGTCAAAGATTTTTCATCTATACCTGGTACATGTATTAACCAATGACTGATATGGTGTCTTTTGCTATATAGGAATTTTGCAAAATTTGATTTTTCTATGTTTCCATGGAAACAACTTAAAAGCAGAGCAGAATTAAAAAACTGTTCAATATTTTTCATCCAAACTTGGTACAGGCATTAATCAAGGGCTGAAGTGGTGCCCTTTGCTATTTAGGAATGTTTTTAAAAAAAATGTGTTTTTCTTGTTTCCATGGCAGCAAGTTTGACTTTGAACATGTTGACTCTTTTCATAGTGGTGTGTACCTGACATAGAAATACAATGTTCCGAACCCTAATTCCATGATTTTGTTTTGATAACTACTATTGTATATGGACAGACAGGTTAGATAGAATTTCATCAAGTTGGACTTAAAGCCTAGTGGTTAAAGCGTTCGCTCGTCACGCCGAAGACCCGGGTTTGATTCCCGACATGGGTACAATGTGTGAAGCCCATTTCTGGTGTCCCCCGCTGTGATATTGCTGGAATATTGCTAAAGGCGGCGTAAAACCATACTCACTCACTCACTCACTCACTTAAGGCCGGGGGGATTTGTCATCAAGATGTTTTAAATGGTGTGAGATACACTTACATTTTGACATTATTTCTTTAGATAGTTGGAAATCTCCAAAAAGATCTATGATTCATATGATGTTTTTTGAGGTATTCACACATTTACTTCCTTTTTCCCTTTTTCAAGAATCCATGATGTGTGGGCATCTCAAACCAATAAAATACACATTTCATTTGGAACACAACTTAGAATTTTTCATTGGTATGCCTGATGGTTGGAGGCAGTTCTTTCAAAGAAATTGTCAATTGTGAAAGTTGTCTGTATTATTATGTAGACTTGAAACCATCCAAACCAGAGAAGGCAAGAAATGGCGTTAAACCTAAATTGGAGGCACAGACCAAAACTAAGAAGGCCGGCAAAGGTTCCAGCATAAGATTAGCGGCCATTGTCTTCACCAGCAGCCTCGTAGCAGCAGTGGCAGTTTTCTACGTCAGTCCTGAAGTGCAGCATGTTGTGGGTAAGTTACACTGTAACAGTCACTGTAACTGTAACACAGTCCCAGTGGAGGATAACCTATTGGTATTGGCCGATCAGACTCACAGGAATGCAGCTCAACCTGAAACATTTACTATCCTGAATAGTGATGTCCCAGAATTCTGTAAGCCCCTAATAGGGTATCTTTAACATTAGACAAACTAACTAGGGCTAGCAGGCTAGTGCCAAGTTGCATCCCTGATTGCCACTCAGTGTCTTGGTTGATTGCTTGTTGGTTTGAAGACATGGTAAGCTGGAACAGATAGCTGGAACGCATCTTGCTTCGCGGAGTAAAAACAAATGTATGACATGGCACACATGCTATCCGAGCATGTGAAAAACGAGGTAAATCGGACTTGAGTTAAGTTCACTTTGGTTTTGATAGTTCGGCTCGATAGAAGGCACATTCGTCAGTTTGGTTTTATATGTCGTCGCGATAGGACGTACATTGAACAATTTCCTTTTATTGCGCGTCAAGGTAGGACGTAGTAGAACGTGTTAGTTACGAGGGGTGTTCATTAAAGATTTCCCCCGACCCACTTCCGATGGACCTAGTGGAATGAAACTTGGCATAGGAATTAGTCTTTCTCCACATAGGAACCACCAAGAGTTACACACTTCTCCCATCGTTTTATGCAACTATGAAGACCTCGCTTGTAAAAGCCCTCGTTTTGCGTCTCAAACCAGGACTTGACTTCAGAAATCAGTGTTTCATCATCTGTGAAACGTTTTCCCTTCAAAAATGACTTCATGGTTGGAAAGAGGTTGAAGTCAGATGGTGCAAGGTCAGGAGAGTAAGTAGGATGTGGAAGGATTTCATAGCCACTGGACCGCGCTTCTGTCTGGGCAACATGAGAGTTGTGTACTGGAGCATTGTCTTGCAGGAGATGGACACCCTTGGTCAGCATGCCACGCCTCTTAAGCTTGATAGCGTCCCGCAATTTCCGCAGCAGTGAAGCATAATAAGCTCCTGTAATTGTGGTACCCTTTGCCAAGAAATCCATCATCACTACTCCGTGCTGGTCCCAAAACACCGTGAGCATGACCTTGCCTGCAGGGGGTTGGATACGTGCCTTCTTTTGGGGTGGTGACTCCACATGCTTCCATTGCATCGACTGAACTTTAGTCTCAGGATCATAGTCATGGACCCATGTTTCATCCTGTGTGATAAGTCTGTCAAAAAAGTTTGCCTGTTTTTTTTGGCACATGTCCAAAAGATCCTTTGAGCAATTGACTCGTTCCTGCTTTTGGAAAGGTGTGAGCAACCTGGGAATCCATCGTGCAGACACCTTTTGCATGTTCAAATTGTCATGGATGATTTTTACCACAGACCCTACACTGATCTTGACATCTTGTGCTAACTGGCGAACAGTTATACATCGGTCTGCCAAAATGGCCGTCTCCACTTGATGGATAGTGTCCTCATCAATGGCTGAATGGGGGCGACCAGGAATGGCAGCTGTTTCCACAGATGTCCGACCACACAGTGTTTAACGTCATATGATGGGGCATCTTCCCCATAAGTTGCTTTCATTTCATCGAAAGTTTATTTTGGTGTGCGACCTTTCAAATATAAAAACCTAATCACTGCTCGGTATTCTACTGGCTTCATTGTCACACCCTACTCGATCATAACACCTGTAAAAGTGGTAAGATTAATAGTTAGACATAACCCATAGAAACATGTATCATTACACGTGTGAAATTTCAACCAAATATAACCCTAAGTGGTTTAGGGGAAATCTTTAATGAACACCCCTTGTACGATAGGATGTCCCAATAGGACGCAACAATGCTAGCCAACATAGGGCTAGACTGATAGGTTGATAGCAGTAGATTTTGAGAATCATATTTAGTTAATTTTGTCACATTTACATTTCTAGAGATTCCCGTTTAGTTCCCCAGATTCATGATCTGAATTATTTCATCATATCAAGATAGTCACATTTAGTTCCCCGCATACAACAGTAAAAGAGTCACTTTTAGTTCCCCGCATACAATAGTGAGGGAATTCACATTTTTGTTAATAGTTAAAATTCCACTGCGCAACACTTGTCATTGTACCTTGGTGACGTGGATCAATGTTTATAATATCAATCACTGGATTGTCTGACCCAGATTCCACTATCATAAAGCTGTAATATTGCTGAGTGCAGCATTAAAGAACAAGCAAAACAAAACAAACATATTCGCAATTCTAGAGGTTTTATTATATGAGATTCCAAATCTTTAGCACTTTGTTTCAGGTGAGGTGATAGCAAAATATGTCCATGAACTCTTCCCTGGACACTTTTCTTCTTGGGACAAGGGTGAAAGTGTTGATACCAAAACAGATGCCACAGGTGCTACAAATGACAAAACCGATGTTCCCAGTCCAGGATGGAAAGAGTCTTCAGGGAAACCATCCCAGAAGGATACAAAGGATCAAGAATTTGAGAAAGACTCCCCTGAAGGCAAGAAAGATAAAAAAGATGATTCTTCCCCAAGGAAAGGGAAGACAAGGGAAGAAAAGTATAAATCTGCTGACATCAGCAAAGGAGAAACTCAGGGAAGTAACCCAGGGGAGGGATTGAAAGAATTGCGCAAAGAGGAAGACAAGAAGAGGGAAGTAAGGAGTGAGGAGGGTGACCCCCCTGCACGAGGGGCCAGCAAGATGGAGAGACAGAAGGTGGAGGACGTGTATGCCAAGGCTGACATCACCAGTGCTGGTGACTTCCGGATCAGGAAGGATCTGGATCAAGTGGACGCTCTGCTGGAACAGGTAATGTGGCAATACCCGGAGATAAATCCAGGATACCAACAAAGTGAGCGAGAGATCCCCGTCCAAGTTGTAAGGGTAGGATAAGGAATTTTCTTTCAGTGGGTTGGGCACTTATACTAACTTGTATGCATACTTGAATTAATTACTGTCCGACATTCACAGATATGAAAATGAAGCAGTGAGACTGACTGTGGACTATTCCGCTTTGAAACACAATGTGTGATTAGAGGATGACAATATTGTCATTAATAGCATCATAACAACCTCTCTCATTGGCTGCTTTGATAACTTCCTTTTCCTTATTGACTTAATGGCAGATGTCTACCTCCTTGAGTTTTATATATGCTTGAAGATTTTATTCAGTGACAATAGACAAGTGACAGTTGATTGTGCATCATGATACTGAAAATGTGTGACAGATATAAGTGATAGGCTGTAAAGATAATAATCTTGGAGCAATTTGCAGTGATACTGCGAGATTTCTGCTACAGTGCAGCCTAGATTTATCTCTGCAAATAGTAGACACTGTAGTTAGTTTACTATGGAAAATAGTTGACAAATGACAAAATTCCATGTTCCAGAATGAATTTGATTTTCTGTCTGGGTAATGAGATTTCTACAACAGTTAATGGAATCTCAAATCATTTATTTTTGTCTGCAAGTTTTGGATGTAGAGCTTCCAGCATGACTTGCCTCAATTGTCAGCTGGCTAACATCTAGATCATCACTCTGTGTCTTAAACGTTTTCAAAAGTCAATGCTATTCTGAAATAGTTTCCATAGTTACCGGAAGTATTCCTGTGCCACTATGATCCAGTGCAGTCAGTAGACAGTGCCTCAAAACCATTAACTACTGGTCAACAGAAACACTTATGACTCCCAGGAATTTAAAAAAGCGGTGGTAAAAATATGTTTGCAAGTGCATGACATGCAATGTTTGGTCCTCAGTGTAAAACCCTAAATGTTCTATTTTTCAGAACAAGGTAGATGAGGCTTTGGCTGAATATAATGAGATCCTGGACAGCAACCCCGTGAGTCCGAGAGCGCTGTATGGCCGAGGTGTGGCCCTGGACAGGCTTGCCGAACAGCGTCGCAGCAATGAGATATTGGAGATGTGCATGGTAGCGTTTGAAAAGGTGTTGAAAATACCCGATGTACCAGACCAGTTGTTTAAGATAGTTGGACGGCGACTAGCAGACAGGCAGCAATTTAGAGGTAAGAAGTTTAGCTGTTGTAAATGTGATATTGGTTGTGATTGTTGCTAGATGTTTTGTAAACAAGTGTCTTTTATCTTTAGACTTGAATGTCATCAGACCCGAATGGCATGGATATTGGCTGTTTTCAGTCACAAGTTTGCCTGGCCCAGATTGAGTATTTGTAGGCCGCTGTAAAATGGCTGGAAGACTGCTGAGTGCTCTTTGTTCTCCTTCAGATTTATTTATTATTTCGAGGCATTCTAAACTAAAAGGTTACTATCAGCTTCAGGTCTTCATCAAATGTCAGTACAAATTCCCAAATTGGAATTCAAAATTTCCCAATTCAGTATGTTACTATTGTCAACCAATGTTATATTGACAGCTTTGGAAATGGATGACCAGTAAAGTGAAAAAGGTGTAATACTTGGTTTTACAGTTGATGTTGATTCAGTTAACAATACCTCTGAATTAAGGAACTTAAAACAGAATATATCTGTTTCTGCCTATTCAAGAAATAGAACCAGGATGTTAGCATCTTTTTATAGTTGATGCTCCTACTGTTTATGATTGTGATAAATCCCAACCATGTCTTAACTGCCTTCAAACTATCTACTTCGCTGGTGGTTTTATTTAGTTTTGCCTGCTTCCTTTAAGGCTATAGTCCCCGAGCTGCCAAAACATTTGAGTTGCTGACATCACGCTTCCCGACCGACATCACGCTGATGAAGGAGCTGGGAGTGAGCTACCTGATGATAGGCCATAACCAGGATGCCAAACAAGTCTTCTCAAAGGTAGGTTGGCTTCAGTGGCAGCAGCAATAGGTAGCAGGCCCTAGAATTAGTGCAGGTGCATTCAGAAATGTCTACCAGTTTGGCACTGTCGAATGCCTTGAAACAGGCCTGTCTCCACTCTTGCATCCTGAATAGCGTTGGAAGCTGGCATGAATTTGGCGTTTACTCTCGGCAAGTAAATAAGACACAAGTCAGGTCGAAAAAGGCCTCAAAGTCTGGGATGAAATTTTTTGGAATCTAAGAAAAAACATGACTGTGATTGTGAAAGTAAGCGCATCAATCAGTTGCAATAACTGCACACAACTGCTTCTTGTGTGGTTGACTATGACGTGATACTCTTTTCACATGTCATGTTGCAGGTGCTGAAGCTGGACCCAAATGATGGCTTTGCACTCGTCCATTTTGGATTTATTCTGAAGACAGACGAGAAGAATCCTGTTGAGGCAGTTCCATACCTGGAACGTGGACTGAAGAGTGCAGCTAAGGGGACCCGTGATGGCCGTTTCTATTACCATCTTGGTGATGCACTGCATAGACTCGGGAACACAGAAAAGGTAGGTCCAGTATGAAAACAAATAGGCTCTTAACGGAAAAATACGAAACACTTATTTACCTTTTTGGTCTAGTAATAAATGCTTATGTACATTAGAGGCGATATTGTGGTACAGTAAACTACGGTTATAACGAACTCAAAGGGACTACTAGTTTTAGTTTATTATAACCGTAGTTTGTTATACACAATAGTCGGGACCAAAAAAGTAAGTTCGTTTTATCCGTCATTTCGTTATAAGCGTGTTCGTTATAACCGTAGTTTACTGTATCTGCAGTCTGTGCGAAAAACTCTTGAGTCTACTAGCCCCAACTTGGCTCTCAGTGTCAATTTTAGTGTTATTATATGGACTCATATTTCCAAACAAACCATACCGAAAATAATTAGACTAGACTCAGGCTTTGGTCTAGTGGCAACAGGTTTTTCGCTAACCTGGGTAATCTCATAATGGAATGACATAATTTCATGTACAGCTACGATCACTTGTTTCAGGCTTACAGATATTACAAGCAGGCAGCTTCCTTGGGTCTGTTTCTCTCTCCGTACCAACGATCACTGTACAACGTAGAAGACCTCAAATCTCATCCTTGGTGGACACCCAGAGAGACCGGCCTTGCTCAACACCTGAAGGTGGGTAGTGGCGGACTGAAGGTGGGTAGTGGGGGACGGAAGATGGGTAGTGGGAGACTAAAGGTGGGTAGTGGGAGACGGAAGGTGGGTAGTGGGAGACTAAAGGTGGGTAGTGGGAGACGGAAGGTGGGTAGTGGGAGACTCAAGGTGGGTAGTGGGAGACTAAAGGTGGGTTTTTGGGGACGGAAGATGGGTAGTGGGAGACTGAAGGTGGGTAGTGGGAGACGGAAGGTGGTTAGAGGGAGACTGAAGGTGGTAGTGGTAGACTGAAGGTGTGTAGTTGGAGACAGAAGGTGAGTAGTGGGGGACTGAAGGTGGGTAGAGGGAGACTGAAGGTGGGTAGTGGGCGACTGAAAGTGTGTAGTTGGAGACAGAAGATGAGTAGTGGGGGAAGGAAGGTGGGTAGAGGGAGACTGAAGGTGGGTAGGGGGAGACTGAAGGTGGTTAGTGGGAGACTAAAGGTGTGTAGTGGGAGACTAAAGGTGGGTAGTGGGGGACGGAAGATGGGTAGTGGGAGACTGAAGGTGGGTAGGGGGAGACTGAAGGTGGTTAGTGGGAGACTAAAGGTGTGTAGTGGGAGACTAAAGGTGGGTAGTGGGGGACGGAAGGTGGGTAGTGGGAGACTGAAGTTTGGTTCGAGGGAGACTGAAGGTGGGTAGTGGGAGACTGAAGATGGGTGGTGGGAGACTGAAGGTGGGTAGTGGGGGACGGAAGGTGGGTAGTGGGAGACAGAAGGTGGGTAGTGGGAGACTGAAGGTGGGTAGTGGGAGACTGAAGGTAGATAGCGGGAGACTGAAGGTGGGTAGTGGGTGACTGAAGGTTGGTAGTGGGCGACTGAAGGTGTGTAGTTGGAGACTGAAGGTGTGTATTTGGAGACTGAAGGTGGGTAGTGGGAGACTGAAGGTGGGTAGGGGGAGACGGAAGGTGGTTAGAGGGAGACTGAAGGTGGTAGTGGTAGACTGAAGGTGGGTAGAGGGAGACTGAAGGTGGGTAGTGGGAGACGGAAGGTGGTTAGAGGGAGACTGAAGGTGGTAGTGGGAGACTGAAGGTGTGTAGTTGGAGACAGAAGGTGAGTAGTGGGGGACGGAAGGTGGTTAGAGGGAGACTGAAGGTGGGTAGTGGGGGACAGAAGGTGGGTAGTGGGGGACCGAAGGTGGGTAGAGGGAGACTGAAGGTGGGTAGAGGGAGACTGAAGGTGGGTAGAGGGAGACTGAAGGTGGTAGTGGGAGACTGAAGGTGGGTAGTGGGAGACTGAAGGTGGGTGATGGGGGACAGAAGGTGGGTAGAGGGAGACTGAAGGTGGGTAGTGGGAGACTGAAGGTGGGTGGTTGGAGACTGAAGGTGGTCAGTGGGGGACCGAAAGTTGGTAGAGGGAGACTGAAGGTGGGTAGAGGGAGACTGAAGGTGGGTAGAGGGAGACTGAAGGTGGGTAGTGGGGGACAGAAGGTGGGTAGTGGGGGACGGAAGGTGAGTAGTGGGAGACTGAATGTAGATAGTGGGAGACTGAAGGTAGATAGTGGGAGACTGAAGGTGGGTAGAGGGGGAGGGAAGGTGGTTAGTGGGAGACGGAAGGTGGGTAGTGGGAGACAGGCCTTGCTCAACACCTTTGGGTTATGATGAGGGATAGAGTATGAATAGCCTTATACAGGATAATGATGAGGTTCTTTTGGCAGGCACTACACTACTACGGCACTGGTAGTGGGAGACGGAAGGTGGTTAGAGGGAGACTGAAGGTGGTAGTGGTAGACTGAAGGTGGGTAGAGGGAGACTGAAGGTGGGTAGTGGGAGACGGAAGGTGGTTAGAGGGAGACTGAAGGTGGTAGTGGGAGACTGAAGGTGTGTAGTTGGAGACAGAAGGTGAGTAGTGGGGGACGGAAGGTGGTTAGAGGGAGACTGAAGGTGGGTAGTGGGGGACAGAAGGTGGGTAGTGGGGGACCGAAGGTGGGTAGAGGGAGACTGAAGGTGGGTAGAGGGAGACTGAAGGTGGGTAGAGGGAGACTGAAGGTGGTAGTGGGAGACTGAAGGTGGGTAGTGGGAGACTGAAGGTGGGTGATGGGGGACAGAAGGTGGGTAGAGGGAGACTGAAGGTGGGTAGTGGGAGACTGAAGGTGGGTGGTGGGAGACTGAAGGTGGTCAGTGGGGGACCGAAGGTTGGTAGAGGGAGACTGAAGGTGGGTAGAGGGAGACTGAAGGTGGGTAGAGGGAGACTGAAGGTGGGTAGTGGGGGACAGAAGGTGGGTAGTGGGGGACTGAAGGTGGGTAGAGGGAGACTGAAGGTGGGTAATGGGAGGACAGAAGGTGGGTAGAGGGAGACTGAAGGTGGGTAGTGGGGGACAGAAGGTGGGTAGTGGGAGACTGAAGGTGGGTAGAGGGAGACTGAAGGTGGGTCGTAGGAGACTGAAGATGGGTAGTGGGGGACAGAAGGTGGGTAGTGGGAGACTGAAGGTGGGTAGTGGGAGACTGAAGGTGGGTAGTGGGAGACTGAAGGTGGGTAGTGGGGGACGGAAGGTTGGTGGTGGGAGACTGAAGGTGGGGGACAGAAGGTGGGAAGTGGGAGACTGAAGGTGGGTAGTGGGAGACGGAAGGTGGGTGTGGGAGACTGAAGGTGGGTGGTGGGAGACTGAAGGTGGGTAGTGGGAGACTGAAGGTGGGTAGTGGGGGACGGAAGGTGGGTGTGGGAGACTGAAGGTGGGTAGTGGGGGACGGAAGGTGGGTAGTGGGAGACAGAAGGTGGGTAGTGGGAGACTGAAGGTGGGTAGTGGGAGATTAAAGGTGGGTAGTAGGAGACTGAAGGTGGGTAGTGGGGGACGGAAGGTGGGTAGTGGGAGACTGAAGATAGATAGTGGGTGACTGAAGGTGGGTAGTGGGAGACTGAAGGTGGGTAGTGGGAGACGGAAGGTGGGTAGTGGGAGACGGAAGGTGAGTAGTGGGAGACTGAATGTAGATAGTGGGAGACTGAAGGTAGATAGTGGGAGACTGAAGGTGGGTAGAGGGGGAGGGAAGGTGGTTAGTGGGAGACGGAAGGTGGGTAGTGGGAGACAGGCCTTGCTCAACACCTTTGGGTTATGATGAGGGATAGAGTATGAATAGCCTTATACAGGATAATGATGAGGTTCTTTTGGCAGGCACTACAGCAGCACTGGCAGGAGATCAGAGACGAGGGACTACGGCAGCTCAATGTTGATACCAGCAGATTTATTTTTGAAGATGAGAATCTCCGAGAAAAGGGCGAGTGGAAACAGTTCACTCTCTATACTCAAGGTTAGAAAGGTTGAACCAACCAAATAGTAAACATTTAACAGATAAAATACAAAACACACTCAAACAGGACTATCTAGAAGACTGCATGAACCTCCTACTTAGCGAGACATGTACTATAAGTATAGGACTCTGTGTTGAATGCATTCTGCAGGGAGACCAGCGTTGTGTGATGGTTTGTTGGGGGCTCTTTAAGAAGCTTGTTAGTGAGAGGGTGGTGGTTGTCTCTCAAATGAGGGTAGGGTTTGTTTCAGGGCCACAACTTGACAACCTTTCAACATTTTTCCGTGAATCTTGGCATATGCATTGCTCATCAGCTTAACTGGTGCCCTTTGTTATTTTGAAAGTTTTATTTTCATACATTTCCATGGAAACAATTTGATCTTAATCTGAAATAAGTAGTGTTTGTTTCCTTCCAAGACTCTGCAGCTAATGGATATTTCTGCATGAAACTATTTTCTTTTGGGGCCATAATTTGCTATTATTGGTTTTTTTATTATTTGCAAACACATTCACAGTGACAACTTGAACCATTGTACCAAAAAAAGGAGGGGGGAGACATATGTTTTTGAGTGAAAACATTTTCCAGTTGATTAAGCTCCTTGGTTGTTTGATGTTGTGGGTTAACGTTGGTAGTGTTGATCTGGATATGAAGGAATTGGGCATTGTTGGTTGAACCGTAATCGACGTAATAAGCGCCCAGGGCGCTCTCAAAATTAGAAATAGGGGGCTCTTATTAGAATATTATTTTGGTGAAAAAAAACAGAGATGAAAGATAAATTTCGAGGTTTATGCTGACAGCCTGAAATGTTTATGTACGACAGATATATTTTTCCAGAATTGAATTGCCCATAATTAAGGGTGCGTATAACACACGAGTGCGTATTATATGTGAATAAATAAGTCTTTTGTACATTGATAAATCGGAAGGGGTGCTAATTGGGATTGTTCACTAGCCAATATATTAGCAAATAATGCAGTGGGCGCTTATTAAAGCGGGGCACTTATTACGTCGAATATGGTATATGCAGTTGGTCAGGTCATGTGTGACTGTTACTACTTAGGTAGATGATAAGGCTGCTTATCAAACTGTTCATTGTTTGAGTGGACTGTTTGAGATACTGGTATTTGATAAAATGCCCATCCACTTATTGAGTAATCTGCAAACAGCCCTGTACTTACGTGGACTTAACATCTCAGAAGCGTGTGAAATGTAACTTAATGCAAAGACATGAGTTTGACCAACGCCCAGTCTCTTTGAGATCAGTATGAGCTTAGTATAAGGGTTATAGTTAATTATGCATCTCCAATGTGTTCCATGTTGTCAGGGAAGAAGAGTCAGAAGAACTGTGAGAAGGCCCCTGTGACGTGTTCCCTGGTGGACAAGATCCCGGACGTCCGGGACTGTACCCGGGGACAGGTCTGTACTCCCACCATGGTCAACATACATGGTCATATTTACAAACGTTTCATATTTTTTTCGCTATTTGGTTTGAAACTACCAACACATAAATATGTCATATATTTTGCTCCCTGTATAAAAATACTGGTCACTAATAAAAGCAAAACTCCAACCTCGCCATCAGCTGAAAACAGAATCAAAATAGATTATGACAAATATCATCTCTACCCATCATTGATACAGTGGTCCCGTTTACCGGTAATTACCAGTTTTTTTATACTGGCAAAATTAGGTTTGGATCGGTCGTTCTTGTGACTGCCAGTCCATGTGAACCGGCTAATATGGTATCTTGTAAATCTTTGTTGTTAAACAAAACATCGTCGACAATCAAAAAAGTATACTTTTCAAAAGATGTCGGCTTGTCCGTTACCATCAGGGTTTCCCCTGGTTTATTTGTAGTTCATGGAAATAATATTTCACTTTGCTTGGAGTTTAAATATCTATTTGTAGTGACTTAGTCTTGAATCAAAGTGAAATATTCAGAAATAGGAAAAAATTGTGATTGAACTTTGTGTGTAGATCTAAATAAGTTACTTCAGAAATGATGTCACTGAATTTGTCAGCCAACAAAGTACACTGCATTGAAACTGATGTTAAAAGAATTAAGACCAGGTAATTTTCGTGCAATTTTTATTTGTTCAAAGTTGGACTGACAAAAATTGGGTGGGACTGGTAAGTTTTAGAGTTGCCAGTCCACTGGGACAGGCAGTTTCGATGCCAGTGGGAACACTGTTGATGATGCTGAGCCAGAACCAGTTTCTGTCGGTGAAAAAATACAGTGAAACCTTGTAAACAATATATTAACTTGATATCTTGTTTTAGATGATGTAACCCTACCATTCTGTCAGAATCTACAAAGACACAATGGCACTCTTGTACATCCATTTATCTCATACTACGGATAACTAGATCTTATTCCAGTGATAGTGATCCATCCAGCTGTCTGGCAAGGAACTAAGTCTGGTTGTCATGGTTTCCATCACCCAGTTCTGTCACCAGCTGTTCTCAATCATGTGGACACTGATAACACTATCAGTATTACTGATAACAATATAACTTTATATTTCCTCAGTTCCTAAATATTGGTGAGGTTGTGAAATTGTGGGTATCCCCCATTTATTTCACAGACGAACTGTAGAAACAATTAATTTTTGAATTTTGCACTACCATTCTTAGAAATGTTGTATTGCTCAAGAATTACGTATGTCAGTATCAAGTTGAATAATTGTGAGCATTCGTAATAATAAGGTCAATTCGCTTATGTCATTTTTCTTCTGCTTACTTCTTGTTAGTCTAAACCAATCAGAAAAGTGTTTACATAAAAATGCCTGGCTTGGCTTGAGGAATACGGGGGCACGGGTGGCCCAGTTGTCTAAGGCGCCCGATTCACTGTGCAGAGTTGCGTCCCTTGGGCACGCCAGAAACTTATGATTGTGGGATCGAATCCCGGTTCGCCCCGATTATGTTTCTAGGTTTGTCAGCACCATTCCTGTGGGTTTCAACGAAGTGGTATCACTTCGGGCTTTCCTCCCAAGCTAAGCTGACACGCCGCGATATAACTGGAATACTGTTAAAAGCGGCGTTAAACCCAACTCACTCACTCAGTCACTTGAGGAATACTTATTTTTACCTTCAGAATTGACCTGTGATCTCATTTCTTTTTCGTAACGGTATGTTTGGGGTGGTGATAGGTTGTCGCCATGACTTGAAACAATTGCTGTATCAGTTTCATATCTGTTGAAAATTTGTGGGGAGCATAAATATTTAATGGAGGTTCCCCATAATGTATGGTGTCTCTCCTCCTGACTGTTTTGATGTTGGGCCTGAGGACCATGGGATTCATGCTCTTGGTGCACCACTGCTTTGATAGCTTTCCTTTTACCTAAATCAAATCTAAAGTAACATACTCAGTAAAAACACAGTACTTTCTTGAGATCATTTCCCACCAATTAAGTAAGTGAGTGAGTGAGTGAGTATGTTTTACGCTGCTTTTAGCAATATTCCAGCAATGTCACGGCAGGGGACACCAGAAATAGGCTTCACACAATGTACCCATGTGGAGAATTGAACCAGGGTCTTCAGTGTGTCAAGCGAAGGCTCTAGCCACTGGGCTACCCAACCAGCCCCCACCATTTAAGTACTTTTTAGGTAACAATTTAGCTGCACGTACCCTACCTCTGGTTTGCTCCCTGTAAACGATTTTGATATTGACTTGTTGCAACACAGTTCCAGACAATGATTTCCTCATAGATCTCCAATTCGGAACATACTAAAAACCATGGTATAATGTGCATGAATCGTAATCCCATGAACCTGCAACATGATTTGTTTCCTTAAACACTTGCCTTCAAATATGAGTACCGTATTCGACGTAATAAGCGCCCCGCTCTTATAAGCGCCCACGGCGATATTTGCTAATATATTGGCTAGTGAACAATCCTAATTAGCACCCCTTCCGATAGATCAATGTGCACAAGACATATTTATTCGTGTATAATACACACTCGTGTGTTATATGCACCCTTAATTATGGGCAATTAAGTTCTGGAAGAATATGTCTGGCGTATATAAACATTTTAGGCTGTCGGCATAAACCTCGAAATTTACCATCTTTCAACTCTGTTTTTTTCACCAAAACAATATTCTAATAAGAGCCCACTATTCCTAATTTTGAGAGCGCCCTGGGCACTTATTACGTCGAATAAGGTACTTATATTTTCCATCATGCAACTTTCTATACACTTATCGCGTTGGGAACATTGAGAGGGTACAGATTTTTTGGTCCACCATCACCAAGTGCAATGGTGGATAAACAATCTTTACTGATCCAGTTTCCAGCTCAATAAGTGAGTATGTTTTTGCACAATCTAAAATATAGGTATTCGTATTTGAAGGCAAGTGTCTTAGGAAGTGAACCATGTAGCACTTGTCAGTACATGAGATACAGTTACCACAGCTAATGTACTGTAACATACATTGATAACAGTATGTTTACAAGCGACATTGTGCTGTGTATTTGCAGGTGAAGTTCTCCGTGATGCAGCCAGGTGTGCATGTCTGGCCTCACTGTGGGCCCACGAACTGTCGGATCAGGTCCCACTTGGGACTGGTGGTTCCCCCTGGGCCACGCATCAGAGTCGGTAACGAGACCAGGTGAGTTTGTAATGAGACCAGGTGGGTCGGGAACGAGGCCAGGTGAGTTGGTAATGAGACCAGGTGGGTCGGGAACGAGACCAGGTGAGTTGGTAATGAGACCAGGTGAGTTGGTAATGAGACGAGGTGGATCTGGAACGAGACCAGGTGGGTCGGTAACGAGACCAGGTGAGTTGGTAATGAGACGAGGTGGATCTGGAACGAGACCAGGTGGGTCGGTAACGAGACCAGGTGAGTTGGTAATGAGACGAGGTGGATCTGGAACGAGACCAGGTGAGTTGGGAACGAGACCAGGTGAGTTGGTAATGAAACCAGGTGGTTCGGTAACGAGACCAGGTGAGTTGGTAATGAGACCAGATGAGTTGGGAACAAGACCAGATGAGTTGGTAACGAGACCAGGTGGATTGGGAACGAGACAAGATGGGTCCGGAACAAGACGAGGTGTGTTGGTAATGAGACCAGGTGGGTGGGGAATGAGACCACTCGAGTTGGTAATGAGACCAGGTGGGTGGGGAATGAGACCACTCGAGTTGGTAATGAGACCAGGTGAGTTGGTAATGAGACCAGGTGGGTCGGGAACGAGACCAGGTGGGTCGGGAACAGGACCAGGTGAGTCGCCAAATGAGGACCCTGTCAGGATTCGGGGTTGTCCCCCTTTCTGATACTAAAACAAATTCTTTGTTTGTCACTTTCCTCAATGCTTTCTCAGACCTAGCTGTGATACATACATGCAATCGAAATATGAAAATGATTTGCCACTTCCCTTCTCCATTGATATTATTCCTCAGCCCAGTGGGTATTCCTGGTTAGAATTAGTCCTCAGCAACCTATTGATTATACGAGGCAACTTTACGTACCCTAATGGTGTGGATTACTGCACATAATATTCATCACTTGATTGTCTGGTCCAGACACTATTATTTACAGGCTGCTGTCATATAGCTGGAATACTGATGTGTGCAAACAAACAAATGATTTATTTATTCCAGAGAGTGGGAGGAAGGCAAGTTCATAATATTCGATGACTCGTTCGAGCATGAGGTGTGGCATGACGGGGACAGGTTCCGACTGGTTCTTATCATGGACTTCTGGCACCCTGGTCTCTCGGACGACCTCAAGTGGAAACTGGCACCCATCTAACCCCACATCACTGGCGAAGAAACAGCAGAAAAAATAATTGGTCACAACATGTTTATCATTTGGTTATCATATTCGTCCAATGAATGGACCTTGCAGCATTCTCTTATAAAAATACTAATTTATCTTTAAGATAGAATCAGAAAGTCATTTGTTCAGTATATATGTCTTATACTCATGTTTTAATTTGTATTTTACAACACATGAACAGACAACAGGTCATTAAATTTGGCTTTTTGGGGCACTTATTTTTCTTCATCTTGAAAGATAGGATTTTCATTCCAGGAGGAATTTGATAATGGGTCTTGGTAATTCCACGGAACAAATTTTTGTGGCCTTATGAACATCATTGTAAGAATCAGATGCTTGATAGAGGAGGCAGGGCGTGAGACGGTTGCATCATCGTGTTGATTTGAGTTGGGGAGAACCTATCTATATAAATGGTTTGAGTTACTAAAAGGGTCCTGCTCACTGACCCCTAATCTCATCTGAAAATATTAACCATTTCACCTATCACTGGTTCTTATGAGACACCCATCTGACTTACTTCTGAGAACTTTGGCCATTATTGGGTCAAATATGGTATCAAGAAATGCTTTTAACATTTATGCCTCTTCCTTGCCAGAATCAGGTACGTTCATTATCAGTCCCATCAAATCTAATTTAAAATGGAATTACTCATGGATATACCTGTATGTGATTTTTAAATAAACTAGTCATCAACAAAAATATTAAGTAGCCATAATTAGAATCAAAACTGATGTAATTAATGAATGTAGAATAGAAGATGTTTTACAACAGCAGTCTCATCCAAAGCAGTATTTATTGAGAAGATATTCTCATTAAGGTCAAGAAATGCATGTATCTATTGACACATGTAAATATGCAAGAGGCAGAATTTTTTGTGTGGACAAAACATACATGAGCGTGCAATATATGGAAATTAATTGTTTTATCTTTGTACAGAGTATTGCACACAGTTCCTGAGAACACAATTTGTGTCGTAGAAAAGGACTGTTGGTACCACTGTTTGCATTGCTCTGCACTCGATATAAGATTCAACCTGATGTATGATAGTCTCTGTGTAGTGCAACATGTCTTACCTTATCACGATGCCCTGTTAGTAACACTGTGGATTTGTACAGCTGTAGCCTGCCGTGAGCAACCTTGTAGGGTAATTACCTCAACGTGTTTGTATATTTACCATGCCTGGACAAAGGAATTGTCATTTTGTGTTCAATCTCATTCAAATCAGATCTTAGTTCTCGCTACTGCTAAACAAAGATCTGAGGACATCCCATTACGGGTCATGTCAGACCGACCATGCGCGAACTTTGACCAACCAATGGATTGACCAATCAGAAGGGAGCTTTCTTGTGCTTTAGGGTACTAACTACGCTTCGAAACAAATTTTGAGAAATTCTCGATTACAAATTTGAAACCTGAACAAAAGAACATTCTGGAATGGCTAATAGATGGTCTAGATTGTATGGATTCAGTCGCTAAACCCGTAAGTATCGTTCGGAATACCCCTTGTTATGTATTTCAAGGTAGAAATCACATTCAGACTGTCACTTTCATGATCAGGTAAGCGACACTCTGATTAGTCGGATGAAAGGTCATTCTGACGCAACCCCTTATGGGATGTCTTCAGATCTTTGTTCAGCGGTAGCGAGAATTAAGGTCTGATTTTAATGAGATTGTTTTGTGTTAGTCCTTGGAACTGTGAAATCAGATTGGAACTGTGAAATCGGATCGGAACTGAAATCGGATAGGAACTGTGAAATTGGATTGGAGCTGTGAAATCGGATTGGAACTGAATTGGTTGTAAATCTGTATGGTTTATATCCAGAGCATGTACATATTTCGACATGTAATGGTGATCTGATGTAGAACATACTATTGGAATATTCACATTGTCACTTTGTACCAGACTATATGTTTTGGTGGGTGCTTAGTACTTGGTGTACAGGTTTGTTTAACAAAAATATCAAAAATGTTAGTGAAACAAAATTAGAACAGTATGATCAGTATCATTTTCTTTTAACAATTTGAGTACAGTAGATTGGTGTGACAAGGGAAGTAACTCTAATAGGCCTACCTGTGGCTAAAATGTAGCCTCAAGAATTTTGCTTCTATTGATTATTACAAGCAGCACATTTCACTTGTTGACTTGGTTGATGGGTGTCATTGTATCCCAATTGTGTGGATCGATGCTCATAATAATTCTCGATTATTTACAGACCGCCATCGTATAGCTGGAATATTGCAGAGTGCGGCGTTAAACAAACAAACAAACATTTCATGTTTGTTATCTCACCTTACTGATCATATGTATATATATATATATATATATATATATATATATATATACAGTGGTCCCTCGACTTAACGCTCCTCGATGTACCGCTACTCCGGATGCACCGCGGGGTAAACCATGGCTCCCAAAAATGCATGAAGAATTTTCCCAAAAAAAAGCGTTAAAGCGCATTAACGCGCGTTAAAGCAAATAAAGTTACAAATAAACTGATGAAATTTAATTCCAAGTCGATGTACACGTGTGTGTATTTGTAAAACAATTACGTTCATTGTATCCGGCTGAATGTGATCGAAACCATTCTGCCTTTTGTTCCGGTTGTGAAAAAACATATCGTACACAGATCTGGCATTAAACTCACATAAAATCAAATCACAGCAACAACAAACATAAGCCGCAAGGAATATCTGTACACCGCTCTTTCCTACACCGCGGGGTCAGTTTCTTGGACCCCGATGACAGCGGTATATCGAGGGCTCACTGTATATATATATAAAACATCACTTTAAGAAGGTGGGCAGTGGTGTAGCCTAGTTCTTGAAGCTTTTGCACGTCACGTCAAAGGCCCAGGTTTGATTCCGCAAATGGGTACCCCTACCCCTCTGTGTGAAGCCCATTTATGGTGTCTTCCACCATGATTTTTGAATATTGATTAAAGTAGCTTAGAACCGTAGTCAGAGAAGGAATTTGGGTATTATTTTTTTTTCATTTTAATTTGATATTTTACTCTCAGTTTTTGAAAGCAGCTATGTAAACCAAGTATTGAGAACCGTCACTATTGACACCTATATCATAAATAGGTGTATAACACTTCACTTCACTCCACCCCTACTTGTATTGATTGTATGTACAGTTGCCACTGGCAACTGTGTTTGTATTTACTGACTGTGTATTATTGGTGTGTTGGTACAAGAAACAGATCCAGCATCAGCCAGACCTGTGACATTACTTGTTGCCTGGAACCTCTGCTTGGTCTTTCTTTCTGAATTGCCAAAAAACAAAATAACAACAAAAAAATTCTAAAATGAAATTCCTCCCACCTCTAATTTAAGGAATTCAGGGAAAGTTATTTTTTTGTATCCAAATATATTGGCAAATGTCTCATTCAGGTAGTCAAAATAAGTATTTATCTTTTAATGCTTCATGCGTTGTCTTTTGGTGTCCACCTTGCAGGAACATAAGGTGCCAATGATGCAAAAAGTAAAGTAGTCACCATGGTTACCGGTTCACTAAACTGTTAACCATATCATTAGGGTTTTTCATCCACCCTCCTTTTGACATTTTTTACAATAAAAATAAAAACAAAAATTAGACTAAGGAAATAGAAACAACTGGTTCTTTGTCAATGACCACAATCAAACATCTTGTATGAGTGGTCTTTGTTTATTTGGTTTTTTTAAACCTTGGGATGTTTTGGGTTTTTTTTGCCAAAAGGTTTTCATGTTGGGTGTGTTACTGTGGCTGAAGAACTAGGCAGCAATGACGATTCTCTTAGCCATTATGTTGAAATACAGTTTTATATACCTTAGGACCGTACGGTAATCTGAATTAAAACCACAAGCCAAGTAAATTCTGTTTTAAATATCAGACAAATCTTAAGTGAAATATGTTGTACATACATGTATTGAAGGTGCTTTAAGTTTTGTCCAGACAAAGTGTGATGTGCTTATACAATTTAAGGAATTATTTGTGAACATTATTTGTGGACATTATGCTTGATACATGTCTGTTGAATCTCAGCTATAATACTTTCTCCTTGTCTTGCAAATGTTCCCATGTATTATCAATATTTCACTTGCTTGTATTTTGCATTTGGCCCTTTTTAAATATAAATTGTAACTTTATGCATAATGACAATGTATATCACTTGTTAAGAATGATATTAATATGGAGAAGAGAGAGATCTAAAATAGATCTTACTTTTTGGGGGGTGATTTGGAGAAGAATGTCATCAGACATTGGTACTTAGCAGAAGGAAGGCAATTGACATGTGCATTACAAATAGGACTTTTTTAGCCCATACATGGTACTTATCTTCCAGGCAGATGTTAATACACCGTCTTTGTGACCAGCTGACTGCTAATGTTACAGCGATCTTACATATCACTGTAGAAGATAGTTATATTCTTGCATGTTAAACCAATTTAGCATTTAGTGTCCCCACCGACAGACCCAAAGGGTCAAGCTCAATACAATAAAAGAGATTGAGCGACACAAACTTAGGTGATTATCCTTTAACCTACCCAGACTAATTGGTTGACTAAATCTCGGTAAACTAGTCGACTATAAAAAAATTGTGTCCCCATTCAGAGAACCATGGATCAAATGAGGGCTGTGTTATAGTGTGGTGTACTTAAATCAGTCCCTTCTATCATTGCATTTGTTTGGATTGTCAGCATCTGGTGTAGCTGAGTTCTTTCATCTCATGTTTTTGATATTTGTAGCTTAGACGATGTGCAATAAATGGTCCTTTGACTTAAGCCAGAACAATCAAACTGTTATCGGGGCTCTTTTTACCTGGTTTGTGCTATGTAAATTCTATTTCCTTTTACACTGTCAACATATGTGTTCGCTGTGTCCTATTGCTTGTGTAGGAAGTCTGTGAAGATCTATAGAGTCTAGGTGGATGGCTGTTTTGTGGTGTTAGACTATTGGAATGAGTTACTTTCTCTGAACCAGGATACTGTGTGATACCACCATGATGAATTGATTTAATTAGCGACCGGAGCACTGTTCTACAAAACAATTTTGACTGCCAGAGGGGAAACAGGTGGCCCAGTCACTGTGCAGGGTTGTCTCCCTTATGTGTGTCAGGGTCCTATGACTGCGAGTTCAAATGTCACAATGCCCAATCTTGTGTTATTCAACAATGTCAATGTTGCGTGGGCCTTTGCTCCCACATTTAGCTGACATGCATGACGCCCAACCCTCTCTCCCACCGAGCTGATTATGGATGTATTTCATTAGTTTACGTTAAAACTTACGTCTATTGAAACTAGTCCAGCATAGTATTGATGTCAACTGGCAGCGATGTATTGCCAAGTCAACTGACAGTCACAGTGCATCGGGACAGTTCTGTCATACATTACATCCTATGATCATGCTTTATAAATTAATAATTTGTCAGAAAAAAAAGAGAAAAAAAAAGTGATGTTCATCTTCCTGCAGCAAGGGAATTAACTAACTGTAAAAGTCCAGCTTCCACCCTTGCTGAACCAGGCTGGCTCAGATTGGAGTGATATTGGAAGGGGAAGATCAGTTGTTCGGTTGATAATTACATTGATGATGGTAAAGTACAGTAAATACAAGCTTTTCTAGCTGTTGGTGAAATAACGCTATTATGAGACCTTGCTTGGCATTTTGGATATGGTAGAAGACATTTTGACCACCCTGGCTTAAAACTATGATACAA